CCATCACAACCGTAGAGCGTCCCTTTGCCTTTCGGGGACTTTATTCTGCATGAACATCTCCTCGATATCAGCCTCTACCGCAACTGATCCCAGACGATATCTGCACAGCACCTCAATCAGTGGAGTCGTCAGGTCTGGGCCTTGTAGTAGACGGTCATTTAGGGCAATCCCGGCACACTTGGCAGAACAATCAAACCAACTCCGGTCGTCTGACGTTTCTTGGGGTTTATAACTGGCTGGTGCGGAAGGTACTATAATGGTTGCTTTTTTCGATTTCTCCCACTGCGCGTTCGACATAGCCCAACTATAGATTTCTTTTCATGGCATTACAAGAGGCATCCTTCAAACTGTGCGTTCTTTTTCAATCGTCCCTTCAGATGTTTGAGCCAATGGAGGGCTATTTCTCGATTGTCTGGCAGTCGGTTGGATCCCGTTTGCCAGGGTAACGGCAATTCAAACTGGGTTCCATTGTGTCTTGTCGTTTAAGTGACGACATCCAGGGCTGCTCGACCTTCCCTCGACATAGATACTCGGTCATCTGCTATGTCGCCGAACTCGTGATTGTGAAGCCGCTCCAGGTCGTCTCCTATGGGATTATCTGGCCGCGAAATGAAGCTGATTGAGGCTGAATAATTACCATCATGACGGAGCGGCCCGCAGAGTATTCAACCAAACATCGTGCGCACAGCATACGGATCTCTACGGTCTCCTATCTTTTGGTCCAGAACCCAATGCGCCTCGGTTACATCACAGCCCATTAATATGTCCACTTGGGTGTCCGGAACATCCTCGAACGGCAGATCATGGAGGTGAAACCAGCGCCGCGCTAACGACCGAATACTTTATGAAGCTGCCATTGATAGTTTTGGTGATAGTAAAGGCTTGGTGCACCTCTATCGTATCTTCCCTCGATGTGGGAGCTAACTTCAAACGCAGTTGAGAAGCTCGAACTGCTCGTGCCCCATTCACCGTGCTGATCACCAATGAGGTGGTCTGTCCACCCAGGTCGTGCTCTCGTGCAAAGCTCTCTCTCACGAGGGTGGTATCCCATCCATTGTATAGAAACGCCACGGCTTGGACCATGCCACGCGGAGTTTCCACTTGGATTGGTATTATTCCCAAGCGGACCGGCCCACTTGACACCCGTCCGATAGTGCAGACAGATTTTGGTGTATCCCCCGCAGAGTGTTCGTTGAATCTATCGACCCGGCCGCTATTCGTTCGTTGCTCGACTCCTCCATCGTGGTGTAATAAAGGGTGATGTCGAGCCCTGCCATCGTCTTGACCACAGTTGGTTCGGTTTCTGCAAAGGGCTGCTCTGTGGGTATTGCTCAAGCACACAAAGCAGGATCCTGTCCTTTTAGCTACTGTCCAGCGGTCAATCAGCTTCATAGCCAAAAGCTCTCGGCAGGTAACGAGCTTGTGGCCACCTGTGCACAGTTTGCACTTAATTGGCCTTAGTGTGTCATATGAGATTAAGTTAGTGCTCTCGCTATGCAAAATTGCATTCTATGAATTGGGCGAGTTCATCAAATGTCGCCTCTCTGTTCCTTTTCTCGATTCGATCGGCCTCGGTCGCCCAGGTTGCCTGCATTTCGGCCGGCGAACATCTGACAATCGATTCCAGAGTGTGAAGTGCATCCAAGTTCGACTGATTTTTGAAGTGGTTTATAGCGATGCTGCAGTTCTGCATCTTGATGACCAGGTTTGATAGAGACCTATCATTGCCTCTTGTACGTCTCGCTTCTGCCAGCCCTCCGGTAATCATGTTTCGTGCCACTCGGAATGGTTGGCCGAACATCTCCTCCAGTATATTTCTGGCCCTCGGGCAGCCCACTTCCGGGTCAAGCATTGCGCACCCTTGTATGGCCTCCTTAGCCCTCCCCCGACCGTATTGTAGCAAAAACGGAAACCTTTGCCCTGCATCGTCGGTTTTGTATTCAAGGAAAGTTTCGCATTATCGAATAAATTGGCAATATTGTTCGAGATTGCCGTCAAAAGGTGTCAGTACGGCTCTTGGAAAATCAACGTTCCCATTGGCATACGTTCTTCTTTCTTCGGGACGGATTATTTATTCGCAGAAAAGCAAATATGTGCAGTCTAAGCTCTAGGTGTTGTTGTGCCGTTTGTTTTTGCATTTAGCCTGTTGTATCTGGTGCCTAACTAATCTCAACTCATGCTCTAATTCAGAAACACGCAATCGAAATATATCAATATCATTAATATCTGAATCTACACATGAAACAGCACTGACAGGACTAACAGACCTAACATTTTCTAAAGAATTAAAATGACCCACAGCCCCACCTCCCCGGTTACGTGCCGGGTTACTTTCTGTTGGGTTCCAGTTTCCTTGGTTCCTCGACTGAGCATCTTTGAAATATTTTTCTCGTTTGATTCCAATTTGAGTAGTGTACGTCAACCAATTCGCACTTGAGTGAAGCGTAGCCGAAACTGATACGAATCCCGAAATAAAACACGATTGATCCGTATTGTTCTGCGGTACTGAATTAACGAAATCATTATAAAATGTACAATAAAGCAAACCTCAATGCTGCCAAAAGCACTCAAGCAAGTGAGCCAAATATTATGTTCAAAGAGAGCCAAACAGTCGCTCACGTTCTCTGACCACGCCAAATTCAAATGGGACGGCATCGAATCACCAGGTAAATAATGATTTATGGTGTTTGTGATTGAGAAATGTCAATAGAGATAGATAGAGTTATGTCACCATAAATCATCATGGGTTTGGAAGAATTTTCAAAAATTCAACATGAAATACAATATGTACTCCCTTATCCATCAACGCCAGAAGTTATTAGCAAAGTGATTGACTTGTCTCCACCGTCTTGTATAACTCTCCATCATTGTGAGACCTTCTAAGTTTTGATCATTCTCCGTCAACAACAATAAACTGTTCGGACATAGTGCTCTTCTTTCCTTATCATCCATCATCTACTGACGTGCAGAAGCTACCATTTTTGCACATACTATGCATTGACGTATTACTCGCTTCACTGCACTGATTCCCTTGACAATCTAATATTTTTCACGGATTGCTGACAAAACGTGTGACGTATCACTATGTTCTTCTCTGTATTGATATTGGCGAATAATAAGATCAGTCACATGATGTCGATTAGGTGGATCACCGAATGCTTGAAATGGGATGAGTAGTTGGCGTAACTAAGTCGCCCACCTACACAAAGCAAGCCAATTATCATAACCGGACAAAGCTTCCTCAAAGAATGCACCATGTCTCCGTATCGTGCTTTTTGAAGTTTTGCATGTAATGTTGACTCACCGAATGTTTTGCTCTGCACCATTCTTAAAATCTTCCATCGAACTGCGTCGGTTTCTTCAACCGTGAGGTTTTCTACGCTCAAGGTACTTTCGTTTCTCGATGAATACATAATTCTAATGTAAGAGATGAAACGAGTAACCCATGCAACTGACTTTAAAAGTTTTGACCATTGAGAGTAACAATGCAGAAGCTGTTCTAGCTTTATCGAAAAAACAGCTGTGTTCACGGGTGCTACAATTCTCTTCATCTCTACACCATCCGGTGGGTACGATAATGGATAATGCCTGTGGAACATAGCTCTGCAAGAACATCGGCCCCTCTAACCGTGTCTCTATTTCCCTTTTTGTTGATATACTTCTCGAAGTAAGGTCAACAATTTTTTATTCGGACCGGATGTGACGCCATTGGGACACCGTGGAGTACTGATGGATGATTGCTAACCGCTTGGCAACGAATGTACTGAAACGTATTGAAGTATTTTCTATATAATATTTGACAATTATTGAATCTATCCAGTACCACACATTCCTGAACATTTCCGATAGAGCCCTCTTCATCAACTCTCCTATCTTGATTCCGAGGACTGTCGCAGGTAGTTCCAGTCGCGGTATGGTTACGGGTTTGCTAGGCGCCACTCGAGACTTGCTGAACAGCAAAACGCTGTAAGTCGGTTTTCTTGCTGGAACATACCACGCGTAGGNGCGTAGGCGACGGCCCCATAACCTGTCTCGGATGCATCACAGAAAACATGCAACTCTGTTCTCCCTCCTTCTCCCCAATCTTCGTTTCTAATACTTCTTTAGATCCTTCTAGATACTTCTAGACACCTAACAAAGCGTACCAAGCTTTCCCAAATACTGGTATCTACAGCAGTGAGATGTTGGTCGCAACCCATTTTGGATTTACGCAATGTTCGCAACAACTGCTTTGCTGGGAGGCATAGAGGGGCTACTAGACCTAGCAGGTAAAACGACGGATTCACGCTGGATAATATACCTCCTGTTGTCACCGGCTTATCTTGTAGCTCGGACTGGAACGTAAAAACATCTCGTGTTGTGTCCTACTGCACGCCCAAAGCTCTTTGACAACTGGAATCAAATTGAGGCAGTTGAACCAGGTTGGTACTTGTGCTGTCTTCCGAGAGCAATTCAGCAAGTTCCGGTGAGTTAGATGACCACATTTTCAGTTTAAAACCCCCTCTTCCCAATGGTTGGTTTATTTCCTTCGCAAACGTAAGGCTTTATCGCATGTCGTGAAGGATGCAAGGCAGCCATGAACGTAGAAGTTTTCTTCTATGGTTTTTAGAACCACACGCCCATAACCACTACCGAATTCTCTCGCAGCCATGTTCAAGGCAAAATTAGCACAAAACGATGACGAAGTCGCACCAAAAGTGTGAGCTGTCGTTTGATATTCCTCGGGATCCTTGAGTGGGTCGCCCTGTGGCCAGCAGAGAAATCTCAAAGCGCTTCTATCATGTTTTGGGACCTTCACTTGCATGAAGATCTCTTGTAAGTCAGCTGTAACAGCTACACGTTTTTTACGGAATCGTAAAAGTATACTAAATTCGCGGTGGTGTCCGGACCCTGATAGAGCATGTCATTGAACGATTGCCCCTTGTGTTTTGCCGCACAATCCAAAACTATACGCAGTTTTTCCGGCTTTTGGGGTTTAGTACTGCATGATGAGGCAGATATCAACTCGGATGAAAGTCGCAGTGTAACTGTTCCCCTGAGACTGGTACGGCATATCCTTTCTCTGTAGTCATCTTCATCGTTTGTGCGTAACGGAACCGTAGCCCCTCGTCAATAATTAAGCGATGCTTTGGGCTGTTCAACCTCGAGAGCGCTGACGCATATTTTCTCACACCGGTATTGACACCCTTCTTCCATGGCAGAGGGACCACGAAGTGCCCATCGACGAACATTGTACCGGACTCTACAATACCCATGGCCTCTGTATCGTCTATGGAAATGCCTTGATCTAATAACTGGGCGTTTGTTAATTCTGCATCGTACATTTGCATTACCTGATGCACTAGATTTGAGTCTTCTGCAGCCAAGCAGTTGACCGATTTCATTTCATACGAAGTGAACCTTGAGGGTCCGAAAATCGCCCAACCTAACAGCGTCCGAACTGCATAAGGATTCTTTCGACCACCGAGCCTTTGGTCGAGCATCCAATGCGCCTCCGGTATATCACACCCAATTAATAGTAGAACTTCTTCATCAAAGTATTCTACCGGAAGGTCTGCCAAATGGGGCCATTTTTTCAATCTTTCAGAGATGTCTCAAACCGGTTTATGAACGGTTAATTCGTTTATAGCAACAGCTTGCTCCACACATACTAATCTGCTCCACAGTAACCCTCACCGATTGGTTCATGCTGTGTGCTTAGGACCATCTTGACGATATGAAGTAACTTGTGATGTCTACCTCCACAACCACTCACGTCACGAGTGGTCTTATTACTGCAGTCATTCGCTCGATGGCTTCCCATTAAACATATAAAACACAAGCCGTATCTTCGTGCAATGTTCCATCTTTCCTGGGAATTTAACTCCGAAAATATCGAACAAGATGGAAGGAGATGGTTTTCAGCACAAATCACGCATCGTTGTGTGCGTAGATCGTTATTACTCTTGACTAAATTCACACTATGGTTTAATGGAGGTTGACGCCTGCTCGAAGGTTGTACAGACTGGACGGGTATACTACTTCTTCTGTTTTGATTAGCAAGTTGCCCAAAGCGACTCCTTGCTACTCTAGCCATTGCAGAGATGAATTCTGTCAGTTTGTTAAAATTTGGCTCTCTTTTATTTTGAGCAATCCGATCCACGGTCTCCGCCCACCTATGCTGCACAGAATACGGCAACTCTTTATTTGTTCGAACGTGCTAAGCAAATTAAGATCAACCGTGTAACCCATTTGTTTCAGGGCGATCACACAGCTTTCCATTCGAATATCCAAATAAGCCAACACATCAGTATCCACGTTATTCGTGTTGAGACCCTCCAACAATACATCTGAAAGTGAGCGCACATCCTCGTGTGAGCGCCCGAATAGATCTTTGAAAATCGTGCATGCCCCATCGTACCCACCCGTGAGTGGCAACATGATGCAATCTTCAATTGCGCTACTAGCCATCCCCTTAGACTAATGAAGCAAATATAACAAGCGTTGCCCATCGTCATTGGTGTTGTAGGCAACGTATATTTGAAATTGCGGAATGAACCTCCAGTACATTGTTGGTCACCCACCGAAAGATCGAAACTTAGGGAAGGTCTAGATTCGCAGTAGTTCGGCCTGACGTAGAAGTTGTTGTCTTATGTTCTCTCTCTAGTTCACCGAACCCTGCTGTCCTGGTAACAAAAGGACCACTCGTCTACGTAGCATCCTATACTGGATGGTTTTCAACAAACTGCATCTTTTCCGTCCTCACTCGCCACAGAACAGATAGACAACTTATTCTTCATTTTCCCTGCGAGCCTTGCAGTCTCCCATTATTGTCGTATTGCTAGCAGTTCGCTTCTGTGCTTTTCTTGGAGTTCTTTCATCTGCTGCTCCGTTTTTGCTCGCAGATGGCGTTCCTTCATCTCAATTAACGACACGCTAGGATTCGACTTATTGCTCAGCCGACTAGACCCACTAACCCTGGAGCCATGAACAGAAGAACTACGCGAAGGGACTTGCCGAGATTCTCCAGTGTTGTGGCCGGATCGCCGCTGTTCGTCATCAACGTCCTTGTTCGTCATATTCATTCGCCAAGTGACGGGCATATCAGAGTATTGTAACGACCAAAACGCGATTATCCGGGTCCGAGCGAAACGGAAAAGATCTCGTCTGTATGCGTTCAATCAAATGACCCTTCCCTCGTTCTGGATAGCGATAAACAAATCTCAGAGCAACGCGTAGCCCAAATTATCGACAAACAAGTGGGTCCAAAAATAATCTACGGTACTATTTTCGCAGTAATCACAAATACATAAGGCAGTCATACCTCTGATAGTGAGCCTGATTCACTATCCAGCCAAAATGTTACAAATATTCACAGAAAATATCGGCGGTAATAAAAAGTAAATAATAAAATGATTTGAACTATCTTTGAGATAATTTTGGATCAATAGAAAAATTCTGCACAATTCAACAGATTAAGCAAAATAATTTTGAGCGTTACAGCCAAAAGGGGTTCAATGTAACCGAATGCAACGGTTAGTCCAACAAAGAGCGTCTAATCGAATCTTTGGTTGTAATAAAACAAGAAAAAAGCACTGAGTCCCATTTACATATAAGCACAAAGCACTTGAAGTGTGTGTCCAATAGAAATGCTTTACCGTAAACTAGGTGAATTAGAAGGTTCAGAGTAGAAAAATCACCGACATGTAAACAAATGTCGGAAAGAATGTACGATAAATCGGCAAAGAAAGATAAAGAAATGCAAGGTAATTGAGAGGAATTTTCAGTCCTTTTGACTGTTACAATTATTGAAATCATTAGTACTATGGGTAAGTAGGAAGCAGACGGGCGCATTAGCCGCAATTAAAAATTGTAATTATCTTGGGTGCCACATTATAGTCTTAAGGTGGAATGAGGAAACGAGTCCAGGAACTACATCCTCCAGCTATCCTGTTTTCCGCAGGTCTGTTTGCGGTCTCGGTATTCCGGTGGGTTGCACACAAATTCCTTGAGGTATGGTTGTTATGTAGAGTATGTTGTCTGATTTAGCTAGTAATTACTTCCGGCTAGCTTATTCAGTAAGTTGACTAGTAGTAAGCTATAGTATAATACTTAAATTCGCGAGGCAGAACGCGAAAGATTTCACGTTATATTCGCTTATTGGCTGACAGGGTTACTGATGCGAATGCAAAAGGGTGAACAAAACAAGAACGCCCACTGAAATGCGGCCATCGCAATTAATTTCTTTTAGTAAACGCTTTAGAGTAATAAATCGAACAGATTGTCTTCTGTGTGTTTTACAGTTATTGGACAGACTGATTTGTATTATGTAGGTATCAGTCTGTTTTATGCAGGACTAACTACACGCTCAAGTGGAAGCTGAGGTTAACACCGTTTTGACAGCGGAGCGCAAATCAAGAAGAACGCACATACTGCATCCAATAACGGATTTCAGATCGGGTCGGAACTTAAGGGATGAGAAGGCCGCTACCGCAACTGCGATCCCCATCCTAAGCCGAGTATAGTCTCGGATGGATGTTGACTGCAGCCATACCTTTTCAACTGCAAGTGAAATCGTTGTAACTTCAAGTGAATCCAACCAATTGCATTCTACTGCGAACCCCAGTAGATGATCGTTCAATCCGCCATCAGACAACGCTTATTGAACCGGTTCTGTCTAAACTCCGCTTAGTCTAAATGATAGAATTCCTCCGTAAACAAACAATAGTAATGTTTTAATAATTTAACGGTCAAGGATGCAAATTTGAATGGGTTGGGTCTGACCGTTCATTCGCATTGTTCCACTTTCCCGCCCGGGAAGTGGTATGCCCTTGAGCCTTGGTCGACTGAGCTTCATAGATAGGAATGACCAGACTGGGCGGTCGTTGACCTTGGTCCGTCGTACAGAAAAGTGTGCCGTTACAAGTTAGATCGATAATGCGATGGCTGAAAACAAGTATGAATGTAGTCATGAACTGTTGTATGGGATGGTTCAACCTGTACCCCCGGCGACACAGTGATTGCAGTTCCAATGAGATTTCCCTAGAACGTTATCAGTTTCGGGGACCAATGCAATTATCTGATGTTTAGCGTTCAAACGCACAAAACTGAGGAATAAGGATGGTGCACCTGGACGAGAGTCAACCCCCGCCCAACGTTTTTTGATTTAGATTATGATAATTCTTTCATAAAAGTTTTCACGATGTAAAGGACTGTAAATATTGAAGTAATTGGAATTCATACATGGTTTCAAAGTTGCAGTGGATTTTTTGAAATTTTCACTGTGCTTATGATTTACATGAAGCAAACAAAATGAAAAGGGTCGTTTATATCCGAAAACGGTGGACGTGCATGGTCAGAATGCTTTTAGGACAGCAAGGTATTTCCTAAAAGCCGCCACAGTTCGTGTGGACATATGGAGAAAACGCAAGAATAAGGTAGTAAACATGACAAACGTGTCCCGATGTTTCCGGTGAAAGAAAATGGAACCACTTCGGTTAGGGAATCATCGAAATTCACTTACCTCTGTTTGTGGTTATTACCCTTCATTTTTCTCTGTATCCCGGTCATCTGGAAAGGAATCCCGAGGAACATTGAGATAAGATTCGATGCCAATATTGGTTCTATTAATAGCTATCTGACATCGAAATAGAGGCCTGAAAATATTTATAATATGTCAGTGAGCATTATCAAATTAATTAATAGTTTTCCTACTCATAAAACACATTTAAATAAATTATCAGCTTGTCCTATTGTTGGCGCATGCTTGCTACTTACGAGTAGTCTGCATCTAATAGTGTCTTTTCATCTGAAGGTGACTTAGACAATCCACTTAGTTACAAATTCACATAAGTTAGGCTTCTTTAAGTGAATTCCGGACTAAGTACTGTATTGTGTATACAAGGTAAATCGCAGACGCTCTTATATCTGGTAGGGCTTATTATTAACATTAAAATAGTAGATCCGGCCGTGCCATCATAATCCATGGTCGATTGATAGAAAGTCAATAGAGTGACTAATACAGTTCGCTTTTTGCATTGAATCACTCACCACACAGATCATAGACGACTATTTCTTCCTCCACAATGAAAACAAATTTACCTGTCGGTGATTGTTTAGACTAAACTCGAATAAACCAAAGTGGTTGATATCTTGCATCATTTTTAGCTCAACGAGAAGCAAAAAGCAAAACTACCCAAATTTTTCCGCTGGGTTTATAAGATCCTTTGGTTTTAGCACTGCAAGAACTGCATGCCTTGATTTGACTGTAATCGCCGTGGACCATGGAATAAACTAATATCGAGGATTCGTGTCTGTATAAAATCACCCACTTAAGTATAAAGGAAGACCAGCCTACTGTAATTATAAATTTGCTCTGAATTCTACTAAATTTATCAAGTAGGCGGCAGATCTAATTCAACAATGCTAGAATATTCAGTCCCAAATACATTCTGCGATTAAAATATAGAACAAATCATTAATTGTATTTAAAATCAATCAGTTTTATAGCTTTCGGAAAATGTATGAGAAAATGATTAAATTGATGCTGATAACAATCCTTTGTGAGTTGAAACTTGGCATCAGAATTACGGCCATTCTCCAATCCTGCTGGTTTATTCGTCCTTCGTGATTATCCGCGAGGATCTCTGTAAGTTGATTCTGGAGCAACTTTCTGTGGGGCTGCATAACATCTCCATCGGATTCAACGCTGGATAATATGGAACAAGTCTGATGATACTCACTCTTTTTCCGGCAACCATGTTTACCAGTTTTAGGTGATAGAGCATATTGTCACACAAAATCACATACAATTTGTGATTTTCTTGCAATAATTGATTGAGAAGCGCTTGTTTTCATACAATCCAAAGTCGTGAGTTCCCTTTATGAGAATAAAATTCAACAACCGAACAACATTCATTGCATCTATGATGTGTGGATTTCTTCCTCTTGAAGTTACCACTGGTATTCTACACCGTTGACCTCTTGGTGTGGGTTCAAAAGTTCCTAACAATGTAGATTTAATTTACTTTCCTCACTCAGTTCACTGAGGATATACGACACATCAAAGGTGTGCGAAACCCTGTCTCAGATGCTTTGTCACACATCAAACTCATCGCTCTCTCCGAAAACATGGACGGAAGCCCAAAAGTCCGACCCCGAGCTACAGTTTCTTAACAGTTCACTCAAACTCCTCTGATAACTTCTGATGGCAGCATATGGTACGACCTCTTTACAGGCACCACTCGCCCAGTAGAGCTATCTGCTTATCCAGTGACCATGTCTGATGATAAAAGTGTGGGCAGCATCTGTTTATGTTTATCATTTCTGTTCCCATTTTGTCATTTTTTCTCCCCCTACTAAACGTTTTGGCACAAAATGTGTATAGTCAAATTTAAAATGCTGCGCCAAAGTTGCACGAGTGAAATAATCTGTTCCACTTT